CCCCAAAACCCCAAAACCCCAAAACCCCAAAACCCCAAAACCCCAAAACCCCATTCTTTTCAAGTTACATTGAAGAATTATTGATTTCTGGTCGAAGCAGCCTTGATCAAATTCCTCAAAGAGGTCTTGTACTTCTTGCTCATATGAGTCTTATGTGTGGTAGATACCTGTGTGCCTGCTTTAGACAGTCAAGGACCATGAGAAGCAGATCTTGATTGCGTAGCAGAGTGATTCGTACCTTTCCTAACGCCTTGCTCTGTCGTTGGCCTCACCTTCTCTTCAGTCTTTGTATAAATATTTGTGAAATTATTAGTTTTTATATTTCTTCGCTCTCTTTTGTTAATAGACATAGCAGTCTTAGCACGATTTTTCAGGATATTTGAGAATTTCTTTTCTCTACCCTTGCTCTTGCTTACTTTGTAAGCCTGATGATGTCTTTGCAAAGCAGTTGGTCTGATGCTTCCAGGAGATTGGAAGTTATTTAGCTGCATTGTTGATGTGGTTCTGAACATATCCTTGCTAGCATTTGATATTCCAGTCATTCCTAAAGGATCATCTTCCTCTTCGATAATTCCATTCCTGATGTTATAAGAGTATGTTGTGCCAGTAATCTGAGAAGATTGAGGTCTATTCTTGAAATTTATAGGATTTCGAGGTCTCATTGATCTCAAATAATCAGTTGGAGTAACTATCTCTGCATCACTCATTGTATCTGTTTGGACAGCAATTCCTCCCAAAGCAGTTGTTACAGAGTCTACCAGAGAGGGTCTATACTTAACCTTCTCTTTAGCAACTGGATCTTCAAATTTGATAGGATCTGTATTGATTCCTTTACTTCTAATCGGGTTGCAAGTCTGAACGAATTTATCTGAGAAATCAACGTATTCGTACGGGTTTTCTCTCTTCTTTATAGCTCGAACTTCCTTCTCCTTTTCAATGATCTCCTTTTCCCAATTTGATAACTTCTTGAATTTGCTCTCATAATTAAAGAAAAAGCTCCTATAATCTTCATTCTTCATCGAGATTCTGTCATTCATTTGTTGGATTTTATTCTTCTTAAGAAGAAGTTCATCATACTCGTTCTGAGCCTGGATTAGCTTTTCCTCTAATTTAGTCATTTGATCATATGTTTGCATAAACCTTTCCTTGAAATTATCCCTCTCCTTGGTCATTTCTCTAAGACTAGTCTCCGTGATACGGAGTTGAACTCGATCTCTTTCGGCTTGGTGGTTCATTTCCTTATATCTGTATTCGTTCTCAGCTACAATGTTAATAATCGTAGCTTACCAAGAGTAGACCTTAGGTCTTCATTGCCCATTTCAAGTATATTAATCTTGACTTTCTGGTTCTCCTTTAGATTCATGTTCTCAACTCTGAGTCTGGTGACGTATTCTTCATGCTGCTTTTCTATGAGCTTGAGAAGGCCTTGGGTTGTCTCCAGCTGTCTCTTAGTCTCCTCTATAGCTTTTATACTACAAAAATACCTAATTTCTTTAAAGTTGAAGAATAATGGAATCTCTTCTCCTCGAAATCATCTTTCAGCTTGTTATTTTCGTCAGTCAACCGCTCAAGTTCAGTCTTCTTGTAGTTATTTTGATGCTTTAGCTCCTTGACGTTTGTACGTAGCTTCATGACTTCAGAGGTTGTTTTAAGATGAGCCTTGTACTCAGTCTCATACCTTTCAATCCATTTCTCTCTGGCTTCAATCTCTGACTCTATTTGAGTGGAATGGATTTTAATCTGGTCGTTGAGGTCCATCCTCTCGATCTCCAAAATTCTCTCAGCATTATCTTTCTTCTTCTCAAGAACATCATGGAGCCTCTCAGCTTGATCGAGTTTGGTCCGGAGCTTCTCCTTTTCTCTCTCAAGCACTGCGATCATTTCTTCTTTTGCATGGATCTGTTGGATGAAAGTCGCAATTTTGGAATTAGCTGATTCTAGAAGTTCATTTGAGTGGTTCCGTTCATCGTTGACCTTCTTCATATTAGAAGTAGCTTCGTCTAGTTCTTTCTTTTGTTCCTCATTAAGCTGCTTGTATGTCCTATTGTTTTCAGATAAAGTTTGATTTTCTTGGTCAAGAACGTCAATTTCTTTATCAAGCCTCTCAATCTTTTCTAGTTGTCTCTTAAAATTTTCCTCGTATGAGAGCAGTTTTTGGTTTTGCTCGATAATCTTCTTTTCTTTATCGATGTTTTCTTGTTTCAAGTTGTCAAATTCCTGCTTGAGTGTTTTAAGCCGCTCATCTAAAGAGCTATTCCTCTCCTCCATTCTATCATGGTTGAGCTTATAGTAATCTCTCTCCTTAATGAGACCCTTCTCGATACTTGCGTACTTATCAATACTAAGTTTGAGCTTTTCCATCTCATTTTCCTTAGCACAAAGAGTTGAGAATCACTCATTGAGTTTCTCTTGAGATATGGCTATTTTATCCTCTAACTCCATGTTATTCCTCTTGCCAATATCGTTTTCGTGGGTGAGACTTTTGATCCTCCCTTTGTCATATTTAATCGTTGATTCTTGATCTTCCTTGATACTCTTGAGCTCTTTTACCTGACTTGATAGGTTTTTATTGATTTCCCTTAATTGAACGTTATGTTTCTCTAAAAATTCTAAAGGTTAGCCAGATGCTGTACCGATATCTCCAACTGCACGTTGGTATTGTGTCTCAGTCTCTCTATTCAGTGCATGCATGTTATTGATCTTATCCTCAAATTGGACTCTAAGTTTGACTTCTTTTTCACGATTCTCAATATTTTCCTCAACAATCTCTAGTAAATTCTGATGTTTCTCTTCATAATTTTGAACCTTTTCTTTGTAAGTTTTTGTGTCATTTTCTAGGTCAGTGATGTTCTGCCGAAGGACTTCCTCTAGTTCAGCAAATTTGTCACATTTTTCTGCAAAGTTTGCATTGGCTTTGTCCAACTCATTTTTATGCTCAACAGCTAGTCTAGAGATTAGCATTGTGTAATCAGTTTTGCAACAGTATTCTATGAGGATTGCAAATACCTTCCAAATTGAGGAGACTAAGGAGTGGTTGTGACTAGAATGCTCCATACATCTGACAATGAGGTCATAGAATCCAACTGAGTATACAAAGAGAGATCTGTAGATCCTGTTGACAGACTCGTTAGGAATACCTCCTTTCATAAGAGTCATTCTATCGATGTTGTACCGAGCTACAGGAACTTTATTCTCTGGTTTCATCAAAACGCCAGGGATGTTGAGATGCTCTGCATCTCCTAAGGTTTCGTTCATCCAATGCTCAATGATCTTTGAGTTAATAATAGAAGGTGGGTCTTTATACATTTTCTTTGATTTCCTCATGGCATTCTTGAATGGGTCAAGCCCATATGTATGACCTAATGATCCACTAACCGTACTTCTCTTATTGTCCACACTAGAGTTCCTTTTAAAATCTATATTTTTGTCTTCTACTAATTCTTACCTTCGTCTTGCTCGGTTTCATATTGATGGGACTGAGCAATTTCAGAATGACCAAGTGTCGAATCAGGTTTGGAAACCTGTATCCTGCTCTTTGTAAACGAGATTTTAGATGTCCGCTTCTCGCTACTTTTAGGGAATAAGTTATCAATATTAGGAGCTTCCAATTGATTAAAAATATCACTATTAACTCTATCTTTTGGTCTTTTCTTACGCCCCTTACTCCTCGATGCTCCTGTTAAAGGACGTCCTAGAGATTGCATCTTTAAGAAGTTCTGACTGCTCTTATATTTCTTAGAGAGGTACTTCTCTTGTATCTGTGTCGATAGTTTGGCTTCGTTATCCTTTCCGAAATCGTACATTGCAGTTCAAACTCAAGTTAAATTTATTATACAAATAAATTGTTAATTCCAAAATTTAAATTTTATAAGGGGTTTTGGGGTTTTGGGGTTTTGGGG